CGCTTCCCTGTGCACTGGATAATGATCCGGCATTGCGCTGGCTAATTATCTTTTTATCTCATCTGAATGTTTGTTCTTTCAGTTCCTGTAAGTCCCTTCTGTTTCCATCATTTAGAAGGCTGATCTGCCTATCTCGTTCTTTCTTTGTAACTGTGGAAAAACTGGCAATGTCGTATAAAGATGAGAGCAAGGCTTTTGGGATTTTTAGTCATAATTTAATTGGCCATTTTTCTCTTGTGTACTTTCTCAAAGTTATGATTGGTGTTGAATTCTAGAAACTGCTGGTTTTAAATGATAGTAATGTACGTTAGATATGACATGGGGGCAGGGTGTCTGTGAAGTGACAGCGGCCAAAAAACTGTTGTGATTTCATGCATGTGTTGAAGCAGAATAAACACTCTCTAGGCAGTTCAGATTTGTGTAGAAGGACTTTGACAAGTTAACTTTGTATTGGCCAACCCTGTGCTGAAAAAGATGATACGTGCCTGTGTCTTTTTGGCCTTTTGTTGGGTTAAGTATCCTTTTCATCTTGGAGTCTAGAAGAATAAAACTGGTACAAGCTCTGTATCATGTGAATGTTAAGCTACAGGCAGATAATGTGGTTAATTCTACAAGTAGGCCAAGAGTTGCCTCGGCTTGATCTGGATGTAACTTGAACCACTGGGAGATCTGACACTGCATAGTCACAGTATTAGACCATGGTTTCAAAACTGCTGACATGGAGCTATGTAGTATTTATTTAAATGACTTGTTTGTCAAACAGGGGCAGTATTTTTGGAAATGGATCTACTGTAAAGCTTTATGTAGCTCGTTGAGTTTTATTTTAAGCTTTTTCATAGTTATTAACCCTGAGTCTTCTCTAGTTAGTGGAGTTAAGTACATTTTTGCCAGTGAATTGGCATATGTGGTGAACTTTGTGTACAGTGTGAAGAGATTGAGCTGCAGAGCTTAGTATTTTCAATGAGCAGCAGCTAAATTATGATACCTTGCATGTAATATTGTGACACTCTTAGTTCAGGATATTCCGCACATGTGTTAAGGGATTGGTACTTGCTGAAAATCAGCCTTGTGAATAAGCTGAGGCCTGAGTGCATATATGCACCCAACAGTGTAATATATTGCAGTCTTGGTTTGGTTGTGAAGATGAATATGGACAGGTTTTGTGAGAGCTAATACAAGAGCTTACAGTAAACAATACTTTCACTTAGTCTGCTCTACTGTGGACAGGGTGGATCGTGTAACTCAAGGGTTGACATGAAGCAGAAAACGAGAACAGATTTTCAATGTGTAAAATAGTTGTGGTATTGCTTATTCTTCAGTTGCTTTCAAGGAAAACTGTCAGGAAATTGGAGTTAAATTTGATTTTTAAAAGTAAAATAGGCCGGTCTGCTCACCCCTCATCTCTCATTTAAAAACAGATTCCGTAAATGAGGAAGGAGCAAGAAGGTTATGAGGCCTGTAAAGAGTACTGGAGTCTTGCAGAGAGTGTGGAATTTACTTTTGTTACCTTGCTTTTAGTAATTTGGATCCTTAAAATTCATTATGCTTATTGGGTACTCTGTTGTCATACAGATTATCATCTACTTTCTATCAAGACATTTTCAACCCAAATTTTGCAAACGTGTCACATTTCTTAGTTGCACGAGGCTTTTGTTTGCACTCATTTTTGTGCTTTTCTCTCCTGTACCCTGTTGTAGGAAGCCTTCACTCACCATGCCCTCGCTGCTCTATTCTTCTGCTTTGAGAATAGAACTTGTCATTAGTACTCTGGTTTGTTGTGCCCAAGACTAACTTTGCTGACCTAAGACTGCTTAAATCCAGAGGGAGAACTTCTCAAGTGTAACACTTTTTATGAGGAGGCCTTTGTAGCCTTCTCTCTTTCATCTGAATGCTTAACTGACTGATGTCTCTCAGATTGAGAGTACCTGTGCTCTGCCCCTCACACGCTGAAGAACACATCAGTAACTTCTGGCAAGGAAAAATGCTATTGCAATTCCATGTGTCTCCTGGACCGATACTTGTTGAAGATGGTCACCTGGCAAACAGGGATGAAGAAAAGGCATAGACATTCAGTGCGGTTTTGCGTCAGTCTTTAGTAATACTGACAGACCTTGGGGTCTCCTGAGTTGGAGGACCACAACTGCGGGAACAGTGACTTCCCATTTGTGGACCAACTGTTTTGGCTGAATGTTTGCAACTCCATGGGGCCTGATGGGATTCGTCTCAGAGCACTGAAGGAGTTAGCAGATGTTACAGCAGGACCTCTTTCAGTCCTTTTGGGAGTCTGGGGAGGTCCCCAGTGACTGGAAGCTAGCCAGTGTTATTCCAGACTAAAAGAAGGGCGTGAGGGAAGATCAGGACACAACAGACTTGTTAGTCTAACCTCAGTTCCTGGAAAAATTACAGAGAAGATCATACTGGGTGCTGTTGAAAGACATTTAAAGAACAGTGCAAGCATCAAGCACAGTCAGCATGGGTTCACAAAGGGAAAGTCCTGTTTAACTAATTTCATATCCTTCTATGATAAGGTCACCTACCTACTGGATGAAGGGGAGGTGGTGGATGTGGTTCTTCTGGGGTTTAGTAAGGGTTTTGTTGCTGTCCCTCCCAGCATCCTGCTGGACAAAGTAGCATGTGCTAAGATGGCAGGTCATGTTGGACAGGGAGCCGTGGTGGAGTAGATTCCATGCATACCGAATGTCCTGAAAGTACCAGTTGTATTTCACCCTAAAAAATTTCCTTTATCCTACAACTTCAAAGCCCCAGTTTCTTCTAATTCCCCCACCCCAGTAGTTTTCCCACAGCCTGTAATACCACTCTTGAACTTTTGGTTAGCCATGAAGTGGTCAGGTAGGTGAACTGGGTGATTGTTGTAGGTCCCTTACAGCTGAACTCTTCTATCCTATTACATTATCTCTGTTCTAGAGCAGTGAAATCTGTAGAACCATTAAGGGCAGAGTGAAGAGACGAAGAAATACGTGCGTGCTTCTTCTCAACAGCACCGAAGTGGCGATGGTGAACTTATGGAAACTGTTTTTCTGCTGTTTGGTGAGGGCCAGAAGTGATCTTTAAATCACTGTATCAGGATTTAAGCCCACTGGCAGCTCAGTATTACACAGCTGGTCGCTCACCTCCCTCCTTCCTCCCTTCCTGGGTGGGATGGGGAGGAGAATCCCCCCTTTAATCTTTACATTAAAAAATGTAAACCCCACAGGTTGAGATAACAGTTTAATAACTAAAATACAGTATACTACTACTACTAATAATGATAAGGGAAATAAGGGGAGAAAATACAAAATTAAAAGGGGAAAGGGAAGAGGAAAAAAACAAACGAACACAAGCGCTGCACAATACAATTGCTCAGCACCCGCTGACCGATACTGCGCCCAACCTGAGCAGTGATCGGTTCCTTCCAGGTGACTCCCCCCAGTTTCTATACTGGGCATGACGTGCTGTGCTATGGAATACCCCTTTGGCTAGTTTGGGTCAGGTGTCCTGTCTCTGCTTCCTCCTGGCTTCTGGGGCCCCTCCTCACTGGCAGAGCATGAGACTGAAAAGTCCTTGATCAGGGTAAGCACTACTCAGCAACCACTAAAACACTGGTGTGTTATCAGCGTTGTTCTCAGACTAAAGCCAAAAGACAGCACTGCACTAACTACTAGGAAGAAAGTTAGCTCTATCCCAGCTGAAAGCAGGGCACACTGGTACTAGGTTAGGGAGTAAGAACAAGAGGAGGAGAGTTGTTGGCATGGATAGATCACTGTTGTTTTTCAAGCCCTGTGAATGTTTTTAGTCTTAGATTTTGCAGCAGGACATAGAGCTTTCATGGTGAATGGTTTATTTGGTGCTAGGTGAGATGTTTGACTTTTGAGTTGTATTTTCAGGTGGGAGCACTGCACCCACTTGAGTCAGACCTGTCACTGAGACTTATTTTGGAATAGTCTTGTGTTTTGTGTGATATTGAAGTTAATTCATTAGTATCCAAACTTTACAAAACGTGCTTATAGATTTAGTCAATAAATTGAGTGTAATTCTCCAAAAAAAGTGTCTTTTCAGTGGTCTGCTACTCTGGCAATCATGTTCTATAACATCCAACTGTCATGTGAGGCAGGCATTTTGCAAGGCAGAATTTATGTATGCACCCTCAGTGATGATGCTGCAACAAAGTGTTAAAGGATTTGTGGTAGTTACTGCGGTTTTTGGTGGTTGCTTTTGGTTTGTTGGGGTTCTTTTTAAACACTTGGTTCATTCTGGTGATGCTGTAGAATATACCTAATGAGAGATGTTGCAAATTAGTTTCTTTGTACATGAGAGCTTGTTGATACTTTAATACTCCGTGCATTCATACTGAAGTGTTATACTTGAATTTTGAGGTATGAGGCTGGCAGGCTCCTTCTGGGATGGCTTGGTGTGGCTTGCTGCAACCTCGCTCAGCATGAAGTTGTGAAATTTCTTTGAATAGGTGCTTAGTGCTGACAGGAAGAACAGGTTCAGGTAGATACCATAAAATGTGTCATTTTCTTTTGCTCTTCTTTGTTTAGCTTCATTTTTATAAGCAGGTGGGTTTTTTTCCTTCTTTTGTTGGTTGTTTTGTTGTTAATGTCTTAAAGGAATCGGATGGTATTCCATATGTAAGTGCTTGAATCCCTTTTAGTTTGTAAAACTTTTAAACCTCAAGCAACTGTACTATGTTGTTGAAGTATTAGGAGGCTTGAGTTTCAAATCTGGTCTAGGAGGAGCATGGTCAGAAATAATCAAAATAGCTACTTTTGTTGTGTGCTCCTGTAGCTGATTCATGACGTTCTGCTCTAAACGCCTTTTATTAAGGTCGAACTCGTCACAGACAGTATGTGGAACTGGTTGTGTTCTTTACAAGGAAGATCTAGACCAGGCTTTTCTAAGATGCTGCAGTTAGTAACTGTTGAAGTAAATTATAATATGGAATAACTAGTTCTGGACTTTAATATTATTAATTGTTAATATATGTGTTGTCTGTGTAGGTCCCTTCCAAGTCCCCTCCACCACTTGGTAGAAGCAGCAGCATATCTTCGTTTACAGATCAGACCGATGAAGACTCTTTACCACCAGACAAAGAGGTCAGTTGAGAACTGTTTCTCTGTATTTTTAACTTAAAAACCCCCAATCTAACTTGTGTCCTTGATTAACTTTTTTTTTCTTTGATTCTTCAATACCACTATTTCCTGTGCATTTATAGATACAAATAGGCTAGTTTTAAGGTTAAATACTGAAGTGTTTCAGATGAGTAAACCAGACCTTTAAGCTGTAATGGTTAACTCCCAGATTAGGAAACCTTGTAAATCCTCAGGTCTTAAAAGTCTTACCCATGAACTGAACCCAGTGATGTAGGGGAACAGAAGTTACATTCAGAGAGACTAACTTTGGTTGAAGAGTTGCAGGAATCCAGTTAACTGCACAAGTAACTTCAGGTGGGTGAGCCTATAGGCCTAAACTGGGCCCTTGTGAATGTTTCTAATCATACCAGTAATAATTATCAGAATCAAACACCACCCACACCTCTCCCTGCAAAACCCCGCAAACAACTACCAGGGTGATGGGTAACCCTGCCTCGCATCCTAGAGTGAACAGAGGAGATAATCCACTGTCATCTTTATTTCATGTTGGTGGGTGCTACTGCTGTCACCTGCATGTATCAATGCTTTCTGTAGAGCTAGATTTTGTCTTGTAGTGCTTCATTAGATACATGTTGCCCGCAGCAGACTGCTTTTTACAGACAACTTTTCCAGACAAATAGCAGAATCAAGGGATTCCCTGCAGGACATGCTGAGTTACGTTGAAAGAACATTATGCTCTAAATACAGTGGTTGCACTGGACTGATCAGAGAGGCAGAATGAGAAATAAGGTTAAGAATGGAAACAGAGTACTAAAGTGACTTCAGGTTTACAGTTATCCTTGGGCTTAGGGAGCTGTTATGAGAATTTTACTTGTGAAACATATCCTGTAATTAGAAATTCAGAAGGTAGAGAAGCTGCTGAGGAGATGGAAAACCTCTTCTAAACCTCTTCTGTTTTTTGTAAGGACTGGTTTTACAGCAAATGGACAATTTTTCTAAAATGAAGACAAATGTAAATGATCAAGACATGAAATCTCTTTTCTCCAACTATTTCTCATAAATGTTGACAATGATTAAAAGCAAATTGTCTCGGAAATCTGTTTGTTGGATTAGATTTTCATAAAATTCAATTCAGGGGCAGTATTACTATGCTTTAAGAAGATGCAGATATTGCATACTATCTCTAAAAATATATACCCCGATTATATGGATGCATTATGTCGGGGGGGGGGGGATTTTTTTTGTCGGGTTTCTCTTTTGCCAAAGAAAA